AATCTTATACATGCTGACATTCAGTTATACCAGCATCATTTGTTAAAGATGTTTTCCTTTCTCCACTGTATCTTTTTTACTTTTTTGTAAAAAAAAATCATACATGCATGGATTAATGTCAGGGGCTTCAATTTAATTCCATTGATACATGTGTCTGTTTTTTTGCCAGTAGCAAGCTGTCTTTATTACTATAGCTCTATAGTAGAGCTTGAAGTGGGGAAAGGAGATGCCTCCATAAGTCCCTTTATTGTGCAGGATTATTTTAGCTAAACTGGGTTTTTTATTTTTCCATATGAAGTTGAGTTATGTTTTTTCAAGGTTTGTGAAGATTGTTGAGATTTTGATGTGGATTGCATTGAATCTGTAGATCGCTTTTGATGAGATTGTTATTTTTATTATGTTAATCCTATATATCCAAGACCATGGGAGTCTTTCAATTTTCTGATGTCTTCATCAATTTCTTTTTTTCAGAAACTTAAAATTCTTGTCATACAGGTCTTTCACTTGTTTGGTTAGAGTTATCCCAAGATATTTTATATTTGTGGTTATTGTAAAGGGTTATTGTTCTCTGATTTCTTGCTCAGCTCATTTTTCATTTGTGTATAGGAGAGCTACTGATTTTTTTGAGTAAAACTTGTATTCCACCACATTACTGAAGATGTTTATCAGCAGTAGGAGTTCCTAGGTAGAGTTTTTGGGGTCATTTATGTATACTATCATGTCATCTGCAAAAAGTGATAGTTCGCCATCTTCCTTTCTAATTTGTATCCCCCTAATCTCCTGTCATTGTCTTATTCCTCTTGCTAGAACTTTGAGTACAATACAGAATAAATATGGAGAGAGTCGACATTGTCTTTTTCTCAAAGTTTCCCTCCATTTAATTTGATGCTGGCTTTTGGATTGATGCAAATTGCTTTTGTTATGTTTAGATATGGTTCTTATATACTTGATCTCTTCAAGACCTTTATCATGAAGGAGTGTTGGATTTTGTCAAAGGCTTTTTCAGTATCTAATGAGATAATCATGTGTTCTTTTTTCTTTTGGCTTGTTTATATGGTAGATTACCTTGATAAATTTCCATATGTTGAACCAATCCTGCATCTCTGATGCTCTTGGATTTGGTTTTCCAGTAATATATTGAATATTTTTCAGCTATGTTCATAAAGGAGATTGGTCTATATTTCTCTATCTTTGCTGCATTTTTGTGTGGTTTGAGTATGAGGGTAACTGTAGCCTCAAAAAAGGAGTTTGGTAATGTTTCTTCTGTTTCTATTGTGTGGAACAATTTGAGGAGTATTGGAAACAGCTCTTTTTTGAAATCATGGTATAATTCTGTGTTTAAGTCATCTGATCCTGAGCTTATTTTTGGTTGGGAGACTTTTAATGACTACCTCTATTTCCTTAGGAGTTATAGGTCTATTTAACTTGTTTATCTAGTCTTGATTTGGTTTTGGGATGTGGTACCTATCCAAAAAAATTGTCCATTTCCTTTAAATTTTTCAATTTTGTGGAATATTTGTTTTTGAAGAGTGACCTGATGATTCTCTGGATTTCCTCAGTGTTTGTCATTATATCTCCCTTTTTGTTTCTGATTTTGTTCATTCAGATATTGTCTTTCTGACTTTTGGTGAGTTTGAATAAGGGTTTGACTATCTTGTTGATTTTCTAAAAGAACTTATTCTTTGGTCATTGGCCCTTTGTATTGTTCTCTTTGTTTCTATTTTATTGATTTCAGCACTCAATTTGATTATTTTCTGGCATATACTCCTGCTGAGTGAGTTTGCTTCTTTTCTTCTAGAGCTTTTAGGTGCTCTGTTAATTGAAGATAGAAGTTTCTGTCACACACAGTCTTTTAGCCATTTGGTCTCAAAGAAACACACAGAGGCTTATACTAATTATAAAATATTTGATGTGTTAGCTCAGACTTATTATTAACTAGCTCTTAGAACTCAAATTAAGCCATATTTCTTATCTAGGGTTAGCTCCATGCCTTATAATCTTTTTCTCAATAAAGCATTCTCATCTTGCTTCCTCTGCCTTTGTCTGGTGACTGCATCTCTACCTTTTCTCTTCCCAGAATTCTTCTAATATAGTTTACCCACCTATACTTCCTCCTTGGCTACTGGCAAATCAGTGTTTTATTAATCCAATACAAGGGAAAAATTTTTACAGTGTACAAGAGCATTATCCCAAAGCATTTCTCCTTTTCTTCTTTTCAAAACAGAAACCCTGAATCTAATTTTGTTTAGCTTTTCTCTGATCATTATCCATAACAACTTGTAACCAACATGCTAAACAAAAACAAACATCCATAATCCAATTTTGGGGACTGTGGGTATAGTTTTCTAGACTTCTTTCTGCTGATCGGGGCACTGATGCTCTTATGGGGACCCAAAGAAAATTTAGAATTATGGTCAAGTACTGACTGGAGTGTTTGTGAAGCTTGATCATCTCAGCCAGCAACCTTGATGCTGTGCGGTGCCAGAAGCAGAACTCAGAAGAAGCTGCACCAGAGGTGTTCTGAAACATTGTATCATCTGGGCCATCAATTCCTATTGAAGATTTTTCAGGGAGTCTTCCTTATCAAACTTTATATTTCTTAACAAAGAATAAATCCACAGGTGCTCATTTCCTGTGGAAACAAAAGCAAAACCTCTTCTCTAAAGTAACTATGCTAGGGCATTTCCCAGAGGTAAATGGTTACCTAGCTTGTCCCTTGTTAATCTGCATTTAATGGTCCAATGCCAGCCTTTACCACACCCTCTGCATACTCTGAAAGACTGAGACCTTCTGTTTGAATCTCTCTAGAAAAAAAATTGTTTCTAGGAATACCTTTTCTATAATCCCTTTTCAAATAATCTTGATTATCACAATTAAAAATCTAATGTTCTGATTTTTTAAATTTTTAGAAATTACATCTATCAGAGTAACATCATAAATACAAGAAGCAATATCAGTTATATTTCTAATCTGTTCATCTACTGGTACTAATCTTGCCTTTAAATGCCTAATCATACTTCTGTATTTTGAATTGGTAATTTTAAAAGCCAAAGATTCATTTAATATTTGTCTGACTTCTGGATCAGATACTATTCTATTTACAGCTGAATTCAATTCTTGCAAAAAATCAGTGAAGTCTTCTTTGGGTCCTTGTATAATTTTAGTAAATGACTCAGACCTCTTTCTTGATTCTTCAACCTTTTCGAAGCATAATTTAAAGCTGCTAAACAACATAGTGGCAAAGTGTGAAAATCAAATTCAATCTGCCTTTGTAATTCAGCATATTGTCCTTTTTCTATAAACTTATTTGGGGAAACATTAATACCTCTAGCACTATTTCATTGTTCCATAGCCCTAGCTTCCTGTTTCCACTATGTTCACCATTGTAACTGAGGACCAGCTTCCAATATTGCTGTTGCCAAACCATTCCAGTCTTGGAGGATAATTCTGTTCTGAGATGTCCATAAATTTAATACCTGCTTCACAAAGAGTAAATGCATACCACAGGAAATGGTTGCTTCTTTAAATCTTCTCAAATCTTGTATTTCTATAGGATTCCATTTTATGTCTTAGTAACATTATAGTTGTCTATCATCACCTGGTAGTTCTTGTATAGTTACTGGACAAACTAAGGTTAGTTTTTAACAGCCTTGCGTCTTTCTCTTCAGTTTGAACATGCAGTGGCAAGGTAGGTTCTTGTCTAAATTCCTATGTTTGTGTCTGGCATTCTTATTTTCATTTATAAGTCTTTCTAAGGCTTGTTTCTTTTTATTATTTTATTACTTTAAAAAAATACCAATCCAAATTTCCACTCCCTTCCCTCCTCCCACTCCCTCCACACATCCTCCCATCCATCCCCCCTCAAATGTTAAGAGAGGATAAGACACCCTGCACCATGGAAAATCTAAGGCCCTCCCTACAACATCTAAGTTGAGCAAGGTATACATCTACATGAAGTAGAGACAAATCCCAGTGCCACTGTCAGCGGCCCCTCAGTTTGCCCCAACTGACAACCACATTCAGAGGAACTAGTTTGATCTCATGCTCATTCAATCCCAGTAGAGTTGGAGTTGGTGAGCTCCCATTAACTCAGGCAAACTGTCTGAGTAGGTGAAGCCCTCATGGTCTTGACCTCCTTGCTCATATTCAAACTACTTCCACTCTTCAACTGGACCTTGAGAGCTCAGTCTAGCACTCCGATGTGGTTCTCTGCCTCTGTTTCCATCTGTTGTTGGAAGAAGGTTCTATGGTGATATTTAAGATAATCATCAACCAGACTACAGGGAAAGTCCAGTTTAGGCATCCTCTTCTCTATTGCTTAGGGTATTAGGTGGGGCCATCCTTGTGGATTCCTTGGAATTTTTCTAGAGCCAGGTTTCTTGGTAACCCCATAATGGCTACCTCAATCAAGATAACTCTTTCCTTGCTCTTATATCTGTCTTTCCTCCATCTTGACTATCCCATTCCCTCAAGTTCTCCTCAACCCTCCCCTTCTCCACTTCTACCTACCCTTGCCCCCATGTTCCCAATTTTGTCAGGCAATCTTGTCAGCTTCCAATGTCCAAGTGGGTCTATATATGTTTTTCTTTGGGTTCGCTTTATTACTTAGCTTCTTTAGGATCATAAACTATAAGCTCAATGTCCTTTGTTTATGGCTAGTATCCATTTATAAGAGAGTACATACTATAATCATTTTTGGGGTCTGGGTTACCTCACCAGGATAGTGCTTTCTAATTCCATCCATTTTCATGCAAAACTCAAGATGGCATTGTTCTTTTACCACTGAGTAGTAATCTAATATGTAAATGTAGCACACTTTCTTTACCCATTCTTCTGTTGAAGGGCATCTAGGTTGTTTCCAGGTTCTGGCTATTACAAATAATGCTGTTATGAACATAGTTGAACAGATACTTTTGTAGTATGATTGAGCATCTTTTGTGCATATTCCCAAGAGTGGTATTGCTGGATCCTAAGGTAGGTTGACTTCCAATTTTCTGAAAAACAACAACACTGATTTTCAAAGTGGTTGCACAATTTTGCATTCCCACCAGCAATGGATGAGTGTTTCCCTTACTCCACATTCTCTACAGCATAATCTATCATTGGTCTTTTGATCTTAGCCATTCTGATAGGTGTAAGATGGTATCTCAGATTTGTTTCAATTTGCCTTTTCCTAATAGCTAAGGAAGTTGAACATGTCCTTAAGTATCTTTTGGCCATTTGAAATTCTTCTGTTAAGAATTCTCTGATTAGTTCAGTACATCATTTTGAATTGGGTTACATAGATTTTAATGTCTAATATCTTGAGTTCTTTATATATTTTGGAGATCAGTCTTTTGTCTGATGTAGGGTTTGTGAAGATCTTCTCCCATTCGGTAGGATGCCTTTTTCTCTTATTGACTGTGTCCTTTGCTTTACAGAAGCTTCTAAGTTTGAGGAGTTCTTATTTATTTATTGTTGCTCTCATTTTCTGTGTACTGGGGTCATATCTAGGAAGTGGTCTCCTGTGCCCATGCATTGAAGACTACATAGCACTTGCTCTTCTATCAGGTTCAGTGTGGTCAGATTTATATTGAGGTCTTTAATACATTTGGACTTGAGTTTTGTGCATGGCAATAGATATGTTTTCTGAAAAATTTACTTATTTATTTATTTATAAAAATTTCCACTTCCTCCCCTCCTCCCAATACCCTCCCACTCCCCACTCCCTCTCCTTCTCTCTCTCCAGTCCTAAGAGCAGTCAGGGTTTCCTGCCCTGTGGGAAGTTCAAGTTCCTCCCCCCTCCCTCCAGGTCTAGGAAGGTGAGCATCCAAACAGGCCAGGATCCCAAAAAGCCAGTACATGCAGATGAAACAAGACCCAGTGCCATTGTCAATGGCTGCTCAGTCAGCCCCCATGTCAACCACATTCAGAGAATCCGATTTGATCACATGCTCGTTCAGTCCCAGTCCAGCTGGCCTTGGTGAGCTCTCAATAGATCAGTCCCCTTGTATCAGTGGGTGAACGCACCCATCGCGGTTCTGACTTCCTTGTTCATGTTCTCCCTCCTTCTGCTCCTCATTTGGACCTTGGGAGCTCCGCCCAGTGCTCCAACGTGGGTCTCTGTCTCAATCTCCATCCATCATCGAATGGAGGTTCCCTCTGATTCCGCCTTCCTTGCTCACGTTCTCCCTTCTTCTGCCTCTCATTTAGACCTAGGGAGTTCAGTCCAGTGTTCCAATGTGTGTCTCTGTCTCTATCTCCATCCATCGCCAGATGAAGGTTCTATGGTGATATGCAAAATATTCATCAGTATGGTTATGGGCCAAGGCCAGTTCAGGCACCCTCTCCTCTGCTGCCCAGGGAACTATCTGGGGACCTCTCCTTGGACCTGGGAACCCCTCTAGAATCAAGGCTCTTGCAAACCCTAAAATGGCCCCCTTAGTTGAGATATATACTTCCCTGCTCCTATATCTATCCTTCCTCTCTCCCCCCTCCCATTTCCCCAAGCTATCCCCAATCCTCCCCCTCTCCCTTCTCTCTAACCATCTCCCCTTACTTCCACCCCCCACTCCTCGTGCACCCAAGTTTGCCTGGCAATCTTGTCTACTTCCAATATCCAGGAGGATAGCTATATGATTTTTCTTCAGGTTCACCTTCTTATTTAGCTTCTCTAGGATCACGAATTATAGGCACTGGACTGAGCCCCCAAGGTCCAAATGAGGAGCAGAAGGAGGGAGAACATGAAAAAGGATGTCAGGACCGCGAAGGGTGCATTCACCCACTGATACAAGGGGACTGATCTAATGAGAGCTCACCAAGGCCAGCTAGACTGGGACTGAACGAGCATGTAATCAAACCGGATTCTCTCAACGTGGCTGACATGGGGGCTGACTGAGAAGCCATTGACAATGACACTGGGTCTTGTTTCTTCTTCATGGACTGGCTTTTTGGGATCCTGGCCTGTTTGGATGCTCACCTTCCTGGACCTGGAGGGAGGGGGAAGGAAGTTGGATTTCCCACAGGGCAGGAAACCCTGACTGCTCTTGGGAATGGTGAGGGAAGAGGAGAGGGAGTGGGGGGAGCAGGAAGGTATTGGGAGGAGGGGAGGAAGTGGAAATTCTTTAAATAAATAAATAAGGGAAAAAAAGTTCATATGAAAAAAAAATCTTGGGTTAACTCGAACCAAGGAAGTGAAAGACCTATTTGACAAGAACTTTAAGTCTTTGAAGAAAGAAATTGAGGAGGATACCAGAAAAATGAAAAGATCTCCCCTGCTCTTGGATTGGGAGAATCAACATAGTAAAAATGGCAATTCTACCAAAAGCAATCTATAGATTCAATGCAATCCCCATTAAAATCCCATCAAACTTCTTCACGGACCTTGAGAGAACAATAATCAAGTTTATATGGCAAAACAAAAAACCCAGGATAGCCAAAACTATCTTATACAATAAAGGAACTTCTGGAGGCATTACTATCCCTGACTTCAAATTCTATTACAGAGCTACAGTATTGAAAACAGCTTGGTATTGGCATAAGAACAGAGAAGTCGACCTATGGAATCGAATAGAAGACCCGGATATTAATCCACAAACCTATGAACACCTGATTTTCGACAAGGGATGTTGGTACCCGGGCCTTTTCCCCTTTCTTTGAGGCGCTATGCAGGGCTGTTTTCTCCTACCAGCCTAGCTTCCTGCCCTTCTCTGCTCACTACACTGTCTTGGGGAATTAGCTTAGAGAGAGCTTTGTCCTATTTTGATATGGTAATTCCACCTGCAAGCAGAGGTTCCCACCGCGGCTTTGGCACCTAAAGCATCTGACACCGCAGCTGCTGGCACCCCTCCCCTCAATTCTCAAGCCACTGGCGCCAGGCAGCCAACAGCATGATATCACTCCCAGGTGGGAGGGGGCTCTTGTCCTTCTGCCCCCAAGTATATATACCCGACTTGTGCCTAATAAAGTTGACATTTACCCTTTGGGAAAATGATCCTGGTCTCTCTGTGTGTGTGTGTGTGTGTGTGTGTGTGTGTGTGTGTGTGTGTGTGTGTCTGTTTAATTCCTAGGATATTGATTCAGGCTCTCGGTTCAGTTCGGGAAGCACGCACCCATATCGGAGAGTAGGGATTCGCAGATTGGGCGGAACAAAGGGAGCTAAAGGTATACAATGGAAGAAGGAAAGCATCTTTAACAAATGGTGCTGGCATTACTGGATGTCAACCTGTAGAAGAATGAAAGTAGATCCATATCTATCACCATGCACAAAACTCAAGTGCAAATGGATTAAAGACATCAACATTAACCTGACCACTTTGAACCTGATAGAAGAGAAAGTAGGAAGTAGTCTACAAGACATAGGCACAGGAGACCACTTCCTAAGTAGAACCCCAGTAGCACAGACAATAAGAATCGATAAATAAATGGGACCTCCTGAAACTGAGAAGCTTCTGTAAAGCAAAAGACACTGTCAGTAAGACAAAAATGCTACCTTCTGACTGGGAGAAGATCTTCACCAACTCTTCATCAGACAAAGGTCTGATCTCCAAAATATACAAAGAACTCAAGAAACTAGACACTAAAACACTAATTAACCCAAATTTAAAAATGGGGCACTGATCTGAACAGAGAATTCACAACAGATGAACTTCGAATGGCCAAAAGACACTTAAGGTCATGCTCAACCTCCTTAGCGATCAGGGAAATGCAAATCAAAACAACTTTGAGATACCATCTTACACCTGTCAGAATAGCTAAACTCAAAAACACCAATGATAGCCTATGCTGGAGAGAATGTGGAGTGAGGGGAACACTCATCCATTGTTGGTGGGAATGCAAGCTTGTGCAGTCACTGTGGAAATCAGTGTGGCGGTTTCTCAGGAAACTGGGAGTCAACCTCCCTCAGGAACCAGCAATTCCACTCTTGGGAATATACCCAAGAGATGCCCTAACATACTACAAAAGCATTTATTCAACTATGTTCATAGCTGCACTATTTGTAATAGCCAGAACCTGGAAACAACCTAGGTGCCCCTCAATAGAAGAATGGTTAAAAAAGGTGTGGAGCATATACACATTAGAGTTTTACTCAGCGGTAAAAAACAATGACATCTTGAATTTTGCATGCAAATGGATAGAAATAGTAAACGCTTTACTGAGTGAGGTAACCCAGACCCAAAAAGAGGAATATGGTATGTACTCACTCATAAGTGGATTCTAGCCTTAATTAAAGGTCTTAGAGCCTATAATTCGTGATCCTAGAGAAGCTAAATAAGAAGGTGAACCTGAAGAAAATCATATAGTTATCCTCCTGGATATTAGAAGTAGACAAGATTGCCAGGCAAACTTGGGTAAAGGGGGGGGGGAGGTAGAGGGGTGAAAGTAAGGGAAGAGGGCTAGAGAGAAGGAAGAGGGGGAGGATTGGGGATCGCTTGGGGGAATGGGATAGGGGGAGGGAGGAAGGATGGTTATGGGAGCAGGGAGGTATATATTTCAACTAAGGGAGCCTTTTTAGGGTTTGCATGAGACTTGATTCTCGAGGGGTTCCCAGGCCCCAGGAGAGGTTCCCAGATTGCTCCCTGGACAGCAGAGGAGAGGGTGCCTGAACTGGCCTTCTTCCATAACCATACTGATGAATATTTTGCATATCACCATAGAACCTTCATCTGGCGGTAGATGGAGACAGAGACAGAGACACACATTGGAACACTGGACTGAACTCCCTAGGTCCAAATGAGAAGCAGATGGAGGGAGAACGTGAGCAAGGAAGGCAGGATCAGAGGGAACCCTCATCCGACGATGGATACGGAGACCCACATTGGAGCACTGGACTGAGCCCCCAAGGTCCAAATGAGGAGCAGAAGGAGGAAGAACATGAAAAAGGATGTCAGGACCGCGAAGGGTGCATTCACCCACTGATACATGGGGACTGATCTAATGAGAGCTCACCAAGGCCAGCTGGACTGGGACTGAACGAGCATGTGATCAAGCCAGATTCTCTGAACGTGGCTGACATGGGGGCTGACTGAGAAGCCATTGACAATGGCACTGGGTCTTGTTTCATCTGCATGTACTGGCTTTTTGGGATCCTAGTCTGTTTGGATGCTCACCTTCCTAGACCTGGAGGGAGAGGGGAGGAACTTGAAATTCCCACAGGGCAGGAAACCCTGACTGCTCTTAGGACTGAAGAGGGAGGAGGAGAGGGAGTGGGGGGAATAGGAGTGTATTGGAAGGAGGGAAGAAAGTGGAAATTTTTATAAATAAATAAATAAGTAAATTTAAAAATAAATAAATAAATTTGCATGTAAAGAAAAAAATAAGAGCATTGCAGAAAAGTTAAAATTTGCTATGAAACAGAGATTAAGGGATCACAGGGAGATCAGTCCCAAAGGACACATCTATAATACACTTCCAGGACGTAAGTCTCAAAGGGACAAGAACAGAAGGTAAAAAGACAGTGAGATCCAGGAGACCAGGAAATCTGCTGTGAGATGATAACTCCTAGGATTGACAGAAAAGCTACATGAATGATACCTTAGTCATTTGACATGACATGACCTTTACATGACATGACATTTAAATGACATGACATTTACACAAGACATGACCAACAACAACACATATGCTAACACAGATGAGAGAAATCTCACAAGGTTCTATCTCTAGACAAAAAAACTAAAGGCAGCTAATAAGTATTGAGAGAGGGACTAGGACTCTCCTAGGAATGAGCCCCCTCTAATTAGTTATCCAATACAAAGTGATCAATACTGAAATCATATGCACACAAACCACACCAAACTAACTCAGAGCAGGCTGAACTGTGTGTGTGTGTGTGTGTGTGTGTGTGTGTGTGTGTGTGTGTGTAGTAATAACAATCAAAGAAAAAGAAGACAAGAATTTGAAAAGTGATTCAGGGGGTGCATGGAATGCCTTGGAGATAAAGGATATGGGAGGGATCGGAGGGAGGGGAGTGATGTAATTAGTTTAAAATGTTTAATACAAATCAATAAATACATAATAAAGAGGAAATCAGGCTGAGAAAGCTATAAGGAGAAAGTAAGTAAGCAGCACCCCTCCATGACTCTTAGTGTGGGTTCTTTCCTCCAGCTTTCTACTCTGACTTATTGGGCTGATGGACTGTGAACTATAATCCTAAGACAGATGGGCCTAAATTTTCATGATAATTTCCCAGGGTCATTCTTCAAAGCATCACCTTAAAAGGGAAATTTTATATTTCCTTTATACCTAACCATGTGGCCAGAATATTGGCCAACACCCTTGCATTGGTAAAAATTCAAATAGGCAAATAGAATGTACTTTATCTCACTGATGTGACTGTTTTTATCTTCTTCAATAAGAGAAGAACCCTTCTATCCATTCGTGGTGGTATTGTCATCCAAAAGCAAAGCAGTTCTTTACAAGTGAGCTGAGAAACATCCACAAAATATTATACAAACAGTAACAATGGAATTAAACAGATGTTTGGGTACTTCTAAGTAGTTACTTGCACATCTGTAGTAATATCTTGTGTAAATCATTTCCATTTTATTATAGAGATTTTTCTAAGTTCTACCCTCCCCATTAGAGTATATCTCTGACACGGCCATGAAAAATTATAGACATTTCCAATTTTAAGATTATTTTATACCCTTTAGTCATAGGGGATAATATATTCATAAAGTTATAGCAAATCTCTTTGATTATATACTTCATATGCAATAAAAATTCATTTCTCACAATTTTGAAGATTGGAAAATTTAAAATTAAAAAATGATAGAGTTGATGTCTTTTGAGGGCCAATTTTCCGGCTCGTAAATCGTACCTTCTTATTATGTTCTTATGTAGAGGAGAGGCAAGAAAGCTCCCTAGGACCTTTTGTTTGTGTAAGAAGCTTTATTTCTGAGGGTGCCATCAGGAATAAATCTAATTGCATTCCAATTCCTCCCTTTTAATAAAATCACATTGGTTATATTATTTTAACATGCAAGTCAAGGGTACAAAAATGCTCACATCATAGATCATTTCACTATGTAATGGCAAGGTTAGAAATTTTTCAGGTCTAAAATCTCAGCAGTGATTTCTGAGTGGTGCCTACAATCTTTCATGGTAATTTTCAGCCTGTACAGAGAGATACTATCTACTAGTAACATACATTCTAGCATGTGTCTAATTAATGAAGCATTAATAGCCACAAGTATTGAAAGCCTGTACATGGACTTAAGTTCTATAAATTAACTATCTTATAACTTTTGTCAAACAATTCATGAGTTGGTGTTTTAAAGGTTGTATTGACCTACAAAAATGTAAACATTATACTGAAATGAAGAAATGTGTCACAAAGAAGAAGGGAGAAGGATAAAGCTAAGATAACAAAGGAGGCATCACATAAGTTTCAGACAAAGTACTCACGTATAATTTTTATCAAAATAGAGGAACAAATTGAATAGAAATTCTACATGATTAATAAACAGAATTTCTTTAGCCTACTGCTTTACTTCTATCAGCTTAGAAACCTAAAACCAGTGGCCTTATCACTTAACAAAATGTATCCTCCCAAGTGTTTGTAAGGCCTTCTTAATGTCTTTGTTCCTCAAGCTGTAGATGAAAGGGTTCAGCATGGGTGTGACCACTGTATACATTACTGAGGCCACCATGCCCTTCCAAGAAAAGGAAGTTTCATCAGAACTAAGGTACACACCAAGACCTGTCCCATAGAATAATGAAACCACTGATAGATGAGAACCACAAGTAGAAAATGCCTTATATTTTCCATCTGTTGATGGAATTCGCAGAATAGAGGAAACAATTTGAGAGTAGGAATAAAGGATCCCTGATAAAGGAACAAAGCCAAGAATACAAGTCACAATATAAAGAAGGATATGGTTGAGCAGTGTGTCTGAACAGGCTACAGTGAGGGCCTGAGCAAGTTCACAGTAAAAGTGTTTAATTATCTGATTGGTGCAGAAGGATAATCGCAGCATCAACAGACTCTGGATCAGAGAGTATAAGAAGCTGATGAACCAGGACACAAGAACCAGCAGGCCACACAGTTGGGGGTTCATGATTACTGGGTAGTGAAGAGGGTGGCAGATGGCCACAAATCTGTCATAAGCCATCAGAGTGAGAAGAAATGTGTCCATGCCTCCAAAGACCATGAAAAAATACATTTGGGTGATGCATCCTGCATAGGTGATGGACTTGCTCTGTGTTTGAATGTTCACCAACATCTTAGGGATGGTTGTAGAGATGAAACAAATGTCAGAAAAGGACAGGTTGGAGAGGAAGAAGTACATGGGAGTGTGCAGGTGGGAGTCAGAGCTGACAGCCAGAATGATGAGTAGGTTCCCAAGCACAGCAACCACAAACATGAGTAGAAACAGTCCAAATAGCAAGGGTTGATACTCTGCATCTTGAGAAAACCCCACAAGTAAAAATTCTAAAATAATTGTTTGATTTCCTATTTTCATGTTGTTGACATATGGGAGAAAAGAATGGGAAACATATACCATACAGTCTCTAAATTCTGCCTTTTTATTTATTGAGATGAAAGACAGAATAAAGGTTTTACTATTATAGAACTTAGGAGTCCAACATTTTCTCATTTATTATAACGATTGTCTCACAGTGTTAACCAATCTTTCAGAAACTTGACATTTTTTCATCTGTACTTAGAACCACTAACTCTAGAAAGTTAAACCACATGAAGACCAGAGAACCTCTAGATTTTTCAAGCCAAAATAGTCGTTTCTAAATGCTGAAAATCCTTTTTTCTAGAGTGGATCCATTCTGACCTCCAATCTCATTTTCAACACTTTTCAGTGATTACATTAAATTCTGATCATTCAGAAAGGCTTCCCTTTGTGAGCATGATCATACTCTCTCCTGTATCCATTTCTTTTGAAATTTCTCTCTTCTTTTTAAAAATTTTATCTTCTTAATGCCTGCCTGTTTTCGTATATGTGATTCAGTTCTTGGCTGTTCAGATGACTCCCAATTCCGTCAGGTCTCAATCCAGCTTATTCTTTGACAGAGGAAGATTTCATACTGTTTTGGCAGCTGAATTAATGAACCAGTGAACATATGAAAAAAAAACTTTCCACTTCTGTAGCATTTCACTGTAATCTGTGTATCTATTCCTCCAAAATTGTCAACAAACACTAGCACTAAAGAAGACTACTATAGAGAGACAAGGTAAGAGCAGAGAAAATGTACAGGAAAAAACCGTTTCTACTTTTTACCCAGGTAATTCAATTAATTCCGAGCAGTACATTCATTCCCCAGCACTAACACCTACATGCCTCAACAAGATATCCTATTTTCCTTTGCATCAATACTTTTATGTAATCTCAACAGGTATCTTCCCCTGAAGTAGCATCAACAATAGATGTTTCCTGAGTCACTAACACATAGCCCTGCAGTCCTTCCCTAAATCTCCTGCAATTAAAACAAAGGTATTTGGAAGAATAAATATGAAAATTGAATGTTAGAAGACATTTACAAAGAATCAATAGTGAGGATTATTATTAGCCGGATTTGGTGGTGCTTAGAAGCTACATGGGCTGGGGTTATAACTCAGTGGTAGAATGCTTGCACAGTATTTGCAGGACCCTAGATTTCACCCAAGTACCACAGGAAAAAAAAACTGTTGTTCATTTCAATGTTTGCCTATCTTGTGAAATCCTACCTGCAGTAAAAGCAACAACCAAATTACTACTTAAAAGAATTGTAGCATTATAAATAATATCTTCTTAAGTTGCTCACATATGAAATCATCTACCTGTTCATTTCCTAGTATCTAGTATTGCTGGGAAATTTTGTTTAGTTGTATCAGTAAGTACCAAAAACTTAAATTTAGACTATATAGGATATTGAGCAATCTGGGATGATGGAGTCAGGCAAGAAGTCCAGGCGGAGGGATAGTTGACAAAAGAATTATCTAGCAGGAGGTATGAGAATAGAAATTTTTAACAGAGAAAAGGAAAGGCCCAAAAGCAAAAATCAAACAAGAAAGAAAGTGTTCTTAACAAAATCCTGTTAAGTGCATGGTAATAAATGGAATGGTGAAGAATAATGTCACAAAAATAGTCCAGGACTGCAACTCTCAGAATACAAAGAGATGCACACATAGAAGTAGAATTCATGGATGCTATATAAAGCTGTGGAATGACTGCCACTGAAGAAATGACATGTTGTGAATTATGATTTTCCTTGTAATTTAGAGCCAAAGATGGATTCAAGACAGCAACACTTCAATATAGAGTTAAGACAAAACACAGCAACATGGAATCATTAGAAATGAAGATACAAACTCAAATTTTCCTTAACAGAAAAATAAATAAGAAATAAAGACTTGGACAAGTAGAAAGTGTCAATGTCTTGTTAACTGAATATGTTTGAGAATGAGACACACTCAAGTGAATAAAGGAAATTAATGAGGAGCAATGATTCTCTAATATTTCCAAATCTAACTAGTAAGAGATAAGAAGAGTGAATATTGGACTTGCCTCCATTTCTCTTCTTTCATCCACATAATTTCAATGCTTATGTACTAAAACACTTTGTGTTCTCTCTCTTCAAACATCTATACATCCATTTTGCTGAAAAGAGCAATAAAATGCAAGTGGGCATAGGGTTCTGCACCTGCATAAAGGAGTCTCAACAAATAAAGAAAAGGTTGGTGTTAGAACAAAATGCCCCATCCTCAGCTCCCCAGTCCACTTCTAAGCATCACCTGATGCTTAACACTCATCTGCTTTGGCATATAAGCAAAGATGCTAATGCAAATTTTATCTTCTACAAATATTTGAGAGATAGTACTTGAAAGTATTTTGTGAATTCTGCTTATTTGAGAAATGTTTGATAAAAAATAATAAGCCCTATTCCCTTACCTGGCAAGGGGTATAACCATGATTTTAAAAAATGTGGTTTTCTCAGGAAAAGGATAACCATTGGATAATCATTGTACTCCAGATTGCTGATCCCTGAGATTTCTCCAAATGTGGACTACTCAGCTGCACACTTTGTGATAGTGGGGTACTGCATGCATTCAGCTGTCCCTAAAAAAATTATATAAAGTATTTTGGTCTCTGAATCCATTCTTAGCTTCACACTGTATACTTTTGATAGAGATATGTTGTGTACAGATATATTCAGGCTTTAGAAACTAATTCCTTTGGTAAAAGTAAGTAGGCTCTTCTTTCTTGAAGAGAGAGTCTAGTAAACATCATGTACAAAAGTAAACTAGAGGGTAGAGGGAGGCTAGTCTATCAGAAGAAGACTGAGATAGTCCCAAGCATACGAGAGTAAAATATAGGTCAAAAAGCTAATCTAGGCTATTGAGGTGATAAGATAAAAGAAATAAAGGAGAGCAGCTTTCCTGTAAATCATGTACAGTTCTGTTGGTGACCAGGCTCTACCGCAGACAATTCATAGTGGTAACTAAGTCACCAAAGTGTTTTGTGCAGGGAAGAATTCTGGTATCTAACTGTCATGGGATACCTACCAAGAAAATCCCTACATATTCTTCTCACCTATCTACAAACAATTATGGATGTTCAAAGTAAATGGTCACTGTGAAAATGCAACTTAATGAGTCTTCTTTCTCAAAAATTACTCATAAGAGTACCCTATGGTGAAATAACAGGGTTTTCCCTTGCCTATGCTTAAGAATAAATACTCTCCCTACCAAATACTTCATTGTCCATTTCCTTAAGATCTCCTGTACTATATAAGCAAAGCATACTCACCATGGATCAACTCCTTTGAATCTTACTTATTCAAAAAACATTGCTTATGAAAGGTACAAGATTTTCCTAAAAGAGAAAAGAACCGGATGTGTAGGGAAGAACCTGAATAATTTTCTCTAGAAAGACATGAGTGTGATCAATCTTAGTAACTATAAGAGCTATAAGAGTTACAGGTGTGCCCTGGGAGTTGTATCCCTCTGAAGCTTATTATACAAATTGATCAATAGTATGTTCATTCCCTGATTGGTTTCACTCCTCAAGGGCAGAGACTAACACTGGAAAGAGGCTCCAACATCCCAATTTATTATCCCTGGGAGGATATTAGTGGGTATACCTATGATTACTCCCTCCTGTGTTCATTCTCTGTGAAGAGTCACCATAATTTCCTAAGATCACCTACTGATGATAATTGTCAGCATTTTCTGACCTATTGTTTCCTATTTTCACTAGCTTTGGATTCTCGGGAATTAACTTAATATTGAGTCCGTTAGGCATATGTGAAGGAGCAGTGTAGATGGGTCATATAGTAGAATTTTTGAGCATTCTTCATGCTAGAGCATTTCTAGAGTGACTGGACCAAATTTGCATTCTCACTAACAGTGAATAAAGATTCCCCTTTTCCCACACCGCTCCAGCATTTGCTGTCAGTTTCTTTGTTGATCTTAGCCATTCTGAGTGGAATGAGATGGAATCTAAAAGACTTTTTGATTTGCATTTCCCTAATTACTAAGGATGACCAAAATGTTTTGAGATATTTCTTAGTCATTCTGATTTCTTATGTTGAGAACACTCTGTTTAGACCACTAGACCATTTTTAGTTGGGTTTTTTGTTTCCTTGACTTTGTTTTATTAATTCTTTGTATAATCTGGATATTAATCTTCTGTCAGGTGTATAGCTGGCAAAGATTTGCTCCCATTCTGAGCAATTTACTATATTGAGTGTTTTCCTTCACTTCACAGAGGCTTTTTAGCTCTACTAAACCCTCCTTGCCAACTGCTGCCCTTAATTCCAGAGCAAATAGAATACTATTCAGAAAGTCCATTCCTGTACCTATATTGTATAAGGTATTGCCTATATTTTCTTCTAGCAGATTTAGCATTTCTGGTTGCAAATTGAAGTCTTTGATTTACTTGCAGCTGACTTTTGTGCAGGGTGATAGATATGAGTCTAATTTCATTCTTCTGAAAATGAACATCCAATTTTTCCAGCACCATTTGTTGAAGACACTATCCTTTTTCCAATGTACATTTTTAGACTGTCAGATATCAGATCACTGGAATTTTGTATGCTCATGTTTGAGTATTTTACTTTATTTCAATGGTCTACATGTCTGTTTTTATACCCATATCATATTGTTTTTATTACTATGGCTCTACAATATATCTTGGAGTCTGGAATGGCAATCCCTCCAGTATTATTCTTATTGCTCGGGATCTTTTATGATCTTTCCTATCAGGGTCTTTCTGGTTCCATCTGAATTTCAAAAATGCTTTTCTATTTATGTAGAAAATGTAAGGATTTTGATTTGGATTACATTGACCTGTAAATGTATTTTGTAGGATGGTCATCTTCACAATGTTAATTCTGTCAATCCATAAACGAGAAATATCTTTCAATTTTCTAGCATCTTTCCCAATCTCTTCTAAGACTTGAAGTTTTCTCTTTTTTTCTCTTTCCAAACAGTTTATTGTCTTCATTTTTAATTCAGCACATAAATAAAAAG